ATTGAAGGTGGGTAAAAATGTAATTGTCTCCATCTATGCACATGTGTTCATCTATCTCTCTGTTAGCAAAATATCTTATCAACCACTAGACAGAATTGAATAAACTCAGATAAGTCCCTTGATGCACATCTACAATTGACTACATTTTAGTCAACCAAATTCAAGATGGCCACTATTGTTCACGGACTTTAGCAAACCAATATGTCTCTAAATCAGTCAGTTTTAAATATATTGAGCTAAAATTGGTAGTGACAGAAGCTGAGATTCATTTCCAACACATAGAGTGTTGATAGAATAGTTGAGATTGTAGTTAAAAGGTTCAGCATTAATGTTTGAAGTCGAGCCTGTCTGTTCGCAAAATATCTTATGAACCCGAGGACAGATTTAATTGAAACCCAGAAAGTACCGGTAATTGTTGGATGCATATCTACAATGGATTAACTTCTGATTTAAGATGGCCACCGCAGCTACTCTTAACAAGCAAAGACATGCATATAACTCAGTCCATTCTAAAGATATTGAAAAGTTTAGTGTTCGGCTGACTGGTAACTCTAAATTGTCTCTAGGTGTTAGTGAGCTTGTGAATGGTTGTTTGTCGTTTGTCTCTATGTGTCCCTGTGATGGACTGGAGACCTGTCCAGGGTGTACACCGCCTCTCGCACAGTGACTGGTGGATAAATGGTAAATGGACTGTACTTATATAGCGCCTTTCTATCTGATCAAGATACTCAAAGCTCTTTACACTACAATCTGCGCCTCATTTACCCATTCACACAGCACTCTACTACAGCTCTACAAAGCTAATTGAACAAATCATTCTAAAGATACTAATCAGAGCTTTATCACATTCATACACTGATGGGACACACATCAGAGGCTATGAGGGGTTCAGTGTCTTGCCCAGGGACACTTTGGCATGTGACTGCTGGTGGATTCAAACCTCCAACTTCTTGCATTGGAGGACGACCCCTCTAACCACTCAGCCACAGCCGCCCACCAGTGATCCCTGCAACCCAAAAGGGAAGAAGCGGGTAAAGATAATGGATGGATAGATAGTTTAGTGTGGTAGTAGCCGAGAATCATCTACAATACGTCATTTGAGCACTGAGATCAAAAGTGATAGTTGTTAAAAATTCTGCCATTCAAAGTAGTGGGCAATACGCAATTTTTAAGAATGCTGATTGCACTTCTCGTGCATCTCCCCAACCTAGATACCATAATATACCCGCATAAGTCCTTCCCAGAAACAATAAAACACATTTCTTATACTATATTTTTTCTGGTCTTAATAAAAGATCAACACATTTCAATCATATCTTTTTGTAATTTGCCATTTACAAGTTTTATGAGTTATGATCTAAAATCACAACTAAGAATCTTGATTTAATACCATTTAACTTTATTGTTACACCAAAATGATCTGTCTCACATCCAAAGATTATGAATTACATGTTTTTTTTTAATGAATAGCTGTTTTTTGTTTTTTTGTTTGTTTTTTAAAAATTGTCACCATGAGCAATTGTTTTTCTCCAATTGTTGTGCCAAATTGTTGTGCTACATTTAAATGCACTTTTAAGCTAAATAGGCGTGTATCATTTGCAAACAATCATGTCAATATAATAGCCACGGTATATTCATGTAAATTAAATATGAATAACTTTGTCCCCAATACTGAACCTTGTGGAACGCCACAGTTTATTGTCACAAGCTATGATTTGTTGTTGCTAGTTTTTAATTCTGAAACCCATTTTTCAATGAACTTTTTAATCACTCTTTTACAATAACACTTAGCATGCATCGTTCACAATTCAGTGATGTAAAAAAAACGTATTAAACAAAACCATATTTATAAACAAGCCCGTTTAGAAGTTATCTGAGACAGAACAGTCCTTTTGAAGAACCATAAAGGTTTTAAATAATTAAATGATGTGCTTTGTCTATATTCTAGCAGACAGAAAAACATTTGCAACAGTTTTCATTTAATTACATTTCTTTTTGTACAAAAATATTAGGAATTTTTTTTAGTTTTACGCTAAATTTGCTTTTTTTAAAAATATATAAAATGAGTGCATAAAACTAGTAAATCAGTTTTTAAGTTAGGAGATGGTGTTCAAAGTTTTTCCATCCATGATTACACATGAAGTTAATTTAAAAATGTTTATTAATTAAATCAAATGTTCATGTTAGCAGCCCTGAGTGGAGTTTTTAGCTTAAAGCAGTTTGAAAGATTGTCGTTATGTGAAAAGCTGCAACTACAAGATGTCACTTGAAGCCATCATTTGCCAAATATTTGCAATCTGCTACCAAATAAATAAAAAGATTTAGTTTACAGAAGGAAGGCCAGTTGGATATTGCTTCAAGTGTGCAACCGTCTGCTGCTTTTCTGCCAGAGGAGTGAGATAAACAGCTGCATTTAGCATTTCTTTGGTGCTAAAGCTCAAACAGAATAAGACTTGGCAAAATTTCTGTTTGAGAAGTGCCAATATTCAATGCTCCTTTTTGTAAAACAAAACGGTTGTGAAAAGGCGAACCTGGACAACAACCAATGGAAACTGGCGAGTTTGGTGCAACATCTTCGCTGATAAATAACCAC